ACGTGATTTTTTGATTATTGTGTTCACCGTCCTTTTCTGTGTAGGGTAGCTGAAGAAAAAACCTCAGTCACCAAAGAGAACCGGTAGAGCCGCTGCACCCGGAGGTCCTCCCTGTCAGTAGGTTCAGTTTTTTTTTTATGATTTTCCAGCCAATTGAGGCCCCTAACGTATTTTTCTACAGGGATACGGCCAAAACTGGCTAGGCCGAGATAAACCGCCGCCGTACCAAAACTCCAAAATTTGCCGGAATGAGTTTTGGACATCGATTTTGAATTTTTTGGGGTATTTTTAGGTATGTGACGAGTATTTTGAATTCTACAGAAAAATTTCAGAGAACTCAGTATCCGTTACGATGTGTAGTAGATAGCTCGACATCTTGACACATCGATTCGGATAAGGATCCCTCACCCTATTTTCCGTTATGGTAAATTTAGGCTTAACGATGTATAATTTCATATTTTTATGAAAAATTAGAAGACCCTAAAAATAATTACAAGTTATAGAACCGGTTAGTTCATAATTATCCTGATTTCTTGTTTATTTTTCTGTACTGTCCTATTTGCTTGATTTTCATATAACATATATTCTTAATTTATAGTTCAATAGTCTTATCAACTTATTTAGTTATTTTGGTTATATACCATCAGCATGAATGTAGTTTAATTGATCTATGAATGTGATATGAGATATTGGTACGAGTTTGTTGGTTGTTTGTTAATGAAAATCTATATGTGAAAAACTTGCTGATTACCTAGGGAAAGGGCGGATGGACCCAGTACATAGGAAATCCTACCGTAAATGTTACCTCAGTTAAATGGGGATGAAAAGTCTCTTACCGGAAATGTTTGGGAGATATGGTTCACCCTCATACCAGTCAAGATATCGAGGCGATAGAATGTTTGGTACCCATTACCAGACGAGGTATAGGAACGGCCGGTCAATTATAAAATTTGATATTGGATTCACGAGTATGAGAGACATCCCTATGGATCCCTAGGGGTGCCAGTAAGCAGGTAAGCAAGAAAAGTTATTATTTCTCATTCTCTTATGTATGAAAGTGAAAAGTGATATGGATATGAGTCTTCATAGATTGTCTTTGAAAAACTCATTGTGATAAGTAATAAACAAATATCTTTAATTTTTAAATGTATTTAAATAAAGTAAGGGCTTTATTAGTTATTTTTTTGATTTTTTTACAAATCTTTAGTTTTTGTATCTGTTATTAGTGTGATATTATTATTAGATTAGTGTAGTGAGCCTTTTCATTAACTATTCAGATCAAGAGGATTGAGATCCAAATCCCAATCAGCAAGAGGGTTGTGAGTGGTTCATAATCCCGGACTCCCTTCAGTGCTACTGAAGGTTGTCGTAAGATATTTAGTTATTCGCTTTTCATTTTATTTTTTTAATTTTTGTTTGTCTTTTAGAAGTGACATTGTCATACCTCTATTAAACATTCAAAATTATTGTGTAAGGAATGTAAATTCTAACTCTATTAATCGCTTCCGCATTTAATTTATGAATTTATTTCTCTTTAAGTTCCAGATCTCTACATAGTTTGATTTAATTTCTAACATTAGTGATATGGTCTAGTATAAAAGAAATTCCAAAAAAATATTATTACTTTTTTTTCAAATAAACTACAGTTTATATATATATATGTATATATACATGTATTGATGGGAATGGTAGAGGCCCAAAATTTATTAAATATGGAAATATTAAATTAAGTAATTATAAACAGAAGCAATTTTAGAGTTTAAGATTTTCATTTCTTATATGGTAAAATTATGATGTTTAATAAGGATACGAAAATGTCCATTTAAAAAAGTTTAACTAACAAAATAAAAAAAAAAACATAACTAAAATTCCTATAGAATTAACCTCCACTGAGCAATTCTGATAGGATGCAGGAGACAACTTCTATTCACAACCTTTTTGTTGTTTGGGATATGGATATTTGTTTTCTTGATTTGAAATAGTTAAATAAGGGGGATGGACTATACTAAGCTAGTAAGAATATCACACTTAATACTGATACGGAAAATCAAATGTTAGTAAAAATCGTCAAACAACCAATGGAGCCCTTATTTATTTTTAAATAAATTCGTTTAACTTAAAAAATATTATTTCATATTTACTCTTATAAGCTTCCAAAACCAATCTATGAAAATAATAAA